TCAGTGAAGATGTACCCTAGATAAGTGACAATTGTCAAAATCGATATTTTTAAAGTTTTTTGAAATTTTTTGATACAAAAGGGTAAAAATATAGATTATAAACATGTTAAATTAAAATTTCATGAAGATATACCATAGAAAGGTGACAATTGTCATGATTGTTATTTTTAAAATTATTTGAATTTTTTAGACGCAAATGGGCAAAAATAAATATTGCTAACATGTTAAAATAAAATTTCAGTGAAAATGTATCCTAGATAAGTGACAATTGTCATAAGCCTTATTTTAAAGTTTTTTGAATTTTTTTTGACGCAAATGGGTAAAAATATAGATTGTAAACATGTTAAATTAAAATTTCATGAAGATATACCATTAAAAATGACAATTTTTATAATCGTTATTTTTAAAGTTCTTTGATGTAAAGGGTTAAAATATAGAATGTAATCAATTTTAACCATAATAAAATCTTAACATTAAATTTATAGGATGTTGATTGCATCATATAAATAATAACATAGTTTCTAAGTTATTTCTATAAAAATCCTACCCTGAATTCAGTCTCAGCTCTATTTTGCCACGAGTATACAAAAATATTTGCTAACTGTGAATGCAAGGATATACATTTTTATGATGTAGAATTAAAATTTATTAATTAAAGGAATAAGATTGTGAATCTCTATCTTAAAAGTTTAGAATTTAACATAGGTTACAACTATCTTTAATAATCACTTTGCATATTTTAATCAAATTTTAAGCAGGATAAAAGGACCAACGATTATGAGAATGAAAATAATTTGTTTTTTTGTTTCTACTGAAATTTTATTTTATGTTAACAATTTATATTTTTGTCCAATTGCGTCAAACAATTCAAAAACTTTAAAAATAACGATGATGACTATTGTCACTTATCTAGGATACATCTTCACTGAAATATTATTTTAACATGTTAGCAATTTATATTTTAACCCATTTGATTCAAAAAAATTTAAAAACTTTAAAAAATAACGATTATGACAATTGTCACTTTTATATGGTACATCTTCATGAAATTTTAATTTGACATTTTTACAATCTATATTTTTATCCTTTTGTATCAAAAAATTTCAAAAAACTTTAGAAACAACGATTATGACAATTGTCACTTATCTATGGTACATCTCCATTGATATTTTATTTTATGTTAGCAATTTCTATTTTTGCCCATTTGTTTCAAAAAAATTCAAAAAACTTTAAAAATAACGTTTATGACATTTGTCAATTATCTAGGGTACATCTTCACTGAAGTTTTATTTAAACATGTTAGCAATTTATTTTTTGCCCATTTGCGTCAAAAAAATTCAAAAAACTTTAAAAATGATTATGGCAATTGTCACTTATCTTGGGTACATTTTCACTGAAGTTTTATTTAAAATTAATACTTATTTTGGCCCATATACGTCAAAAAAAGTTTAAAAATAACGATTATTAGAATTGTCACTTTTCTGTGGTACATCTTCATGAAATTTTAATTTAACATGTTTACAATTTATATTATTACCCATTTGCATCAAAAAAATTCAAAAACTTTATAAATAGGGATTATGACAATTGTCACTTATCTAGGGTACATCTTCACTGAAGTTTTATTAATACATGTTAACAATACTTATTTTAACCGATTTACATCAAAAAAATTTAAAAATAACGATTATGATAATTGTCACTTTTATATGGTGCATCTTAATTAAAATTTTAATTTAACATATTAAAAATACATATTACCGTAATATAATCTAATGTTTAAAATACCGATTATGATAATTGTCATTTTTCCAAGTAACATCTTCAATAACGAATATAAAAATTCAGATTAAATTATTTTCCTTAAAAGGATCATATACATAAATAAGTTAAATAAAAATATTAAAAAAATATATTATTTAGAAAACCCACCTCTTATACTTAAAAAATAGATAATTTTACAAAAATAATAAAAAAAACTATAAAAGATTTCACCTAAAAGATGGTTTATTATAAAATTCACAAAAGAATTCCTCAAAAAAGATTTAAAATTATTATCAAAATATGTTTAAAAATCTTTTTGAACTTCAAAAAATATTTTTTGCTTAAAATTTTGCGCTTGTGAAAATCACTATAACAAAAATAATATTACAATAGTAGCATATCATTTTTTTTATTAAAAAAATATCAAATAAAAGAAATCCATTTTTCATTTCATAATATATAATAATATAAATAAAAAATATATATCATATAATATGTTTATTTATTGATAAATAAAATATCAACATTAAATATAAATAAAATAAATTATTTTAATAGTTGTACATTTGCTCAAAATAAAAAGATCTTCAAAGATCTATAGATCTTTGCTCAAATTTTTGAGCTAGATCTCGCTCAAAAATCTTCAAAGAAGATCTTTTGTACAACTCTATAAAAAAATAATAATAGGGCGCGTTATATTTCGCAAAATAGTTCGTTATATTGTCTTCGCGATTTATGTTTCGCGATATTGACTTCGCTATAAAATTTTCGCGATTATTGATTCGCGCTAAAAATTTCGCTCTAATGTATTCGTTTTAGTTTTGCGATAAGAGTTTCGCTATAAAAAATTCGCGATATTTGTTTCGCTATATTGTTTCGCGGAAAATTATTCGCTAATGTGGATTCGCGATAAAAGTTTCGCTATAAAATTCATTCGCGATAAACGACATTCGCGATGAAAGTTTCGCTGAATTGACATGGAACCTTAAAAAGTGATGCCAAATTTAAGATAGGATTTTTGTTCAGATAGAAATTCAATTGTTTTTTCAAATTTTGAAAGAAAAGCTAATAAATTTAAAAAAAATTCATTAAAAATTATATACATTTTTTAAAAGCTAATAGGTCTTCTATTAGCGTTATTAATAAAATTTTAATTTGCTCCAGATATACTTTCAAGCATAATTAATATACTATACCACCTGATTGAAACTTTAACGTTTTCATATAAATGGCACTATTGCTAATATCATACCATAATTGTAATCGCCAATTTAACGGGTATCAGGGTATGGATTATTGCTATCAATATCTAACATATCTAATGTTAGATCTATTATAATTAGGCATTTTCTTTGATCTGCCTCATACTCGAGTTCTATCTCTAGTTTTATATTTTAGAGCAGTAATATTTTCTCTAATTCATTATATAAGATTTTTAATAAAAGGTATTGGTATTTAATACCATCCACTATACCTATAAAAATACGAATCTAATCTAATATTTCCACTATTCGTATTCGATCCAATTTTTGTCGAATAATTATATTATTCGTATTCATGCGAATTGAATAATTCTGTATTTGTATTTGTTTTAATAATAAAAACATTATTTGCTCTGATTCGTCCAATATACGATTCGAAAATTAATTTTTTTAAAAATAATTTTTAGAATGAAAAAATCAATATGAATGAATCTTAAAATATTTATTGAATGAATCTTTGAATATATATTTTTTTAAATTTGTGATTTCATTTTGGAAGATTTCTCGTACATGAAAATTATAAAAGGCCTACTTTTCCTAACCATTATTGGAATTTTAGGTAAAATTTGATCAAAAATCTTTACAATTTAAAAAAATTCAAAAACTGGAAATAATTAATTATTAAATTTTAGGTAATTTACAGATGTAGAATAAAGTAAAAAATAAAATGTTCCGTAAGGAACATAATAACTATCTACAAATAATTTTAAATATTTACGAATAATTTCGAATATGATAAATTTTGAATAATATGAAAAAATCTAATTATAAGAATAATTCTATCAAATGATGGATAAAATAATCATTCAATAATAATATATTTTCCTTATTGGTGTTCGATTCGAATATTCATATGTATAAAATCGAATACCGAATAATTTGTTTTAAATATACTATCCACTGTAACCAGATTTTGTAAACCATGACCCAAGTATAAGTGATATATTTAAACACCTTTTTAACATTGAGTCAATTTTTTTAACTCCAATTTAACAGAAAATGTACTCTAACATGTGTAAAGTACATATCCTATGATTTCAGACAATTTTAGCCATAAACTTTTGTATATTTTTTTAATGTTCACAAGCATCTGTTCTTAGTTACACTAAACCGACGAAAGGAAATGAAATATAATATACAAAGAATAACTTCATTATATTTCCTAATTTGTGTTAGATACAATTATATAGAAAATAAAATACTAGGCACCCAAATATAAAATTCATGATCAAAAAACATCTAATTAAATGAAATAATAATTATTTCATCTTATTCAATCATTTAAAAACTTTCTTCTTACTGATTAAATTGTTTAACTGAACCTCCACATCACATTCAAGCTTTTGAAATAGGTTTTGAAAAATATAACACCAGAGAATACCCGATTTTCAAATAATTTATTCTCTCCTTTCTTCAAGAATTACCAGGGAGATATTATTTATATTTTTTATAAGATAATATTGGCGTAAGTTTTGGTAATTGATCCTCAAGTCGTTCCGCCAACTTCATGGACCTAATGTATCTCTTAAAATAAGTTATGGAAAAATGAAATATAGATAATACATAAAATATTTTTGTAAAGGTCAAAAAAAATTAAGAACGTTCAATTTCAAAAATTTTAGCACGGGTGGGGTTTGAACCCACGCGGACATACGTCCATTGGATCTTAAGTCCAACGCCTTAACCACTCGGCCACCGTGCTTATACAACATTTTCTAAAATAATATTATATATAGTTTTATATTTTATAAAAACAAAAAGATTGAATATGAATTTATATTTTATTTATGTCGTCGCAATATTGGAAAGCTTCTGGTCGACATATTGGTTTTCTCTCAAAAACTATATTGGTCAAAGATAATAATGTTGAAGAATCATTTAAAGCTTTAAATCGGTTTAAACAATTAGAAATATCAGATTTTAATTAATATATAGCATATTAGTTCAAGAAAAGTTGATAGATCAAATCAGAAGAAATAGATATTTTGAAAAACCATATCAAAGAAGAATTAGATTAGCATTTGAACGTTGTAAATCTATATATAATTTTGATATGGAACGAAAAATAAAATTCGTTATGCGTAAAAATCGTGTTTTTCCTTGGATAAACTAAATTGGTCATATTTATGAATAATTTAAAAGCTATTTCAACTCCATTATTACGACCAATTTTTAATAATGGAGTTCGAACCTGGGCAATTTATCCTCCTATAGATATTGACTTAAAACATCCAGATGATAAAAGAAACATTTTCCAAAGACACACCTTACCTTTCAATACAATTAATCCAAATTCTGATTATACAGAAAAAAATACTGAAGACATAATAAGAGATGCATCTGGTCTTAAACCTCATCTTAAGAGAAAACTTTTTATGCATAAAACAATTCCTCCCTTAAGGTGCATAAATTATACTTGTATTTTATCCTTTAATAATTATAGATATAGTTGGCAATTAAGAAGAAATTATAATTGTAGTTTATATGCAAATTTTGGCCAAATCTCAAGTTTTTAAATATTATATTTTTTAGTTAATTTAATTATATTAAAGATGTAAATCCATCAATTTGTTGGCCAACTTCTAAGGAAGTTGTTCAAAAAATTGAAGTTGAAAAGGAATGGGAAAAGCCTTTGTCCAAATTATTAAATGAATTATACAATGAAAAACAAGAAATGAAAGAAAAAAATAAAATACGTTTAGAAAAAGTGATTATTAGATTTAACTTTTTTTAAAAAATCTACAATATATTTTTTATTTAGATAACTCTCAATATGGCAAAAATGGATAAAATGATTAAAGATTTTAAAGACAAAAATAAAACTGATTTAGAAACTCAGTTGACATCTAAAAAGAAAAAGGATAATGAACTACTGGAAGATGCCAGAGAATATTTTGGTTATAGGATTAGTGCATCTGATCCTAAATATAAAACATTTATTGGAGAAAGGGAAGTCCATCGTAAGAAAGCCCAAAGATTGGCTAAAAAACAGGATAAAGAAACCAAAAAAATAGCAGCTTTTACAGACAAAACATAATATTTATAAAAATTTGATAAATTAAAGATTTATTTCAAATTATTTGGCAAATCTCCATTCTTATATTATAATATTAATTATTTAAAAACTTATTATAATTTAAAAGAGTGGGTGTACATATAATCTTTACATCTAAATCTGAGTGGTTAATACATTTAACCCTATGAGTTGAATAAATTCATAATATTTATTATCATTTATTATAATTCATTATAAAACTAACATGTCAATATAACAACAATTTTTACTTTTAACACTTTATTACTCTGTATATTTCTAAATTTAATTGATTAGATATTAGTATATTTTTTATTTTATAATTTGCAAAATTTGAAAAATATATTAAAATAATAAATAAAGAGCCAAATCAAATTTTTAAACATTTGGGTGAATTAAAAAAAATTGTTAAATAAATGGGTTGGTTAAAAAATATTTTAAATAATAGATTGGATGCATAGGTTAAAATTCCATCCATAATTATGAGTATATTAGGACAATAATTATACATATTCTTTGATTTAAATTTTCAGATTTTTATATTAATATATAACTTCTTTTTTTTTCACATAATGTCCTTTTTCAATCATAGGGGATTTTGCAATTTCATAGTGTCATTTTTCAATATAATTAGATCTGGATAGAACAATGTTTTTGAAAAAAAGTCACTGTTTAGTAATATCTCTAGGGAAAGGGGCTTGAGCCCCCTTAAAAATTTAAAGAACTCCCTTAATATTTTGATTTATTTATATTTATAGTCAAAAAGGTAGTAAAGGCTAGTCACATTCCTGACTATGTTTTTAAAAATGAATCATGGCACCAGATAAAAGTACCCCAATTTTCAAAGAAAATTAAACACTTAAAAGGTACAACAAACAAATTTCTAAAATTGGGGTACTCTTCTCCAAGATATTTTTCTCCATAATTTTTTTAAAATAAGAATTTTGTAGGAAAAAGCTAATTAAAATACTCAATGCGTTTTATTTTTAACTTTGTTTATTATAATTATATTTAAGGCCCTTTGTATTTTTTTTTATCAAATGCTAAATTTTTTTCTATTCTTTTCATTTATCTTATGCTATATTGAACTAATTATTAGGGCCACTCTACAGTATTTATATTATATATCATTTTATGGTGTTTGCAAAATTTTTTGATATTTAATTTTCCAAAATATCTTATTTAATTCTTCATCTAGTTCATTAGCTAATATTGATGATGATTTTTTTATTTCATAATTCCTTATCACTTGGGATTAGTGATAGTATGTAATAGTGCCATTTTTCCCATGATAAATTTGAGTAATAGTAAACATAAGAAAATATCAAACCAGGAAAAAATTCACAATTATCAAGAAATTTTTTTAAAAAGGAATCAAAAAATAAATGTCTCTTTGGAGGTAATCCAATCTAATTTTGATATATTTTTCACATCAAACTTGTATCAACAATATAATTATATAAATTTTTGAACGCCTTTATATAACAGCATAAAATGGTGTCATATAAAGTTATTTTATTTTTTTATTCAACACACTTGTTTTTTTTTCTTTAACAAATAAATATTTTAAAAAAGTCATTTTTTTTAAATATATATCTCTGAAAAAATATTATATATACTCGAACATATTTAAAATACTAAATACATAAAGTAGTTAGTACCATTATACTCATTGAATTAAATATATCTATAGAATCTTTTTTACAATTCTTTACAACACTTATATACTCAATTTATCATCGTGTGTGTTCTCTGGGTCATTCCATGTCAAATCAATCACTTTACAACCCGACCATCTCAGATTTTGTTAAAATTTGGTATTTACGTTATATAAGTATTGTAATTGACGAATCCAAAATATTAGACTCTTAACTCTATTAGAACCGGAGATATAGGGCTTCCAAGTGGCTCAGTTTGGTCATTTTTCGAAAAAAATGATTTTTTTAAATTGGGATAACTTTTATATTAGATGCATTATGTTCTATTATGGCTCATTTTATAGCACTAAGTAAACTCTTGAACATATGTTAAATAAAATTAATTTTTAATTTATAGATTATTTTTAAATTGCGGTTAAAAATTTGTAATTAATTTTTCAAAATGTTTGATTAAATTTTTTTTTCCAAATTTCAGATATTTTGTAAAGAATATCAAGAACTGTTCATATAAAAAATTTCAAAGTGAGGCCAAAAAAATTAATTATAAAAAATCTCATTTTTATAAAATCCGCTAGATGGCTTAAGAGTTTAAAATATTAATTTTAACAATATAAGTCAATCTAAGAAATTTTTTATATTCCATAATAAAATATTTATTGAATAATTAAAGTAAGCATAATATTTAAAATAATTTTATTAAATTTCCTTGAATTTAATTTATAGATAATAACATTTATTAAGTAGGCATTAATTAAATTATCGATTTTTCGAATAACTTTTTTCCAATAATTTATCTATTTTTTTACCTGTTACTTTTTCCTAAAATTTATAATTTTTAAAGTTAATTAATTTATTATGATTTGTACAAATCCATTGAATCTTCCAAATCACTATTCCAAAAAAGGTTTAAGAAAAGTGAAGATTTGGATGACAATGTAATAATAAAAATAACAAAGGAGATAATATTTGTCCTAAGTGTCGGAAATTTTTATATAAAAAGAAGAATAGTATTCCAATTTTAGAGGATAGCAACATCCCTACAACTTAATAATTTTATAAACTCCACCGATATAGAAAATGATTATCCAATTAATAACGACAATGCGTAACTCCCTACACTTTTTTTAGAATCCTTAAATTCTACTTTAAATCAAATGGGGCATTCTCCAATAAAAAAAGAGACTAAGAGAAAAAGGATATCTCAAGAAAAAGCTCAGCAGACTTTCAAAAGCTATTGCCAAAATTCTTCAACCAAAGATGAATACAAATGGTAGCGACGATTTGATAATTCATATGAAAAATAATTATTCATTATTGTCTAAAACACAAAAATATCAATTATTAACGATACTACCTCCTAATTGGAGCATTCACAAAATTAAAAAACAATTTAACGCTTCGTTTTATATGATCCGTAATTCAAAATTCATTCTTGGTCAAAAGGGAATTCTTTAAACTTCTAATCCCAAGGCAGGTAAAACCATAGATCAGATCACAGTTGACGTTGCAAAAAGTTTATATTTAAACGATGAATATAGTAGGCCCGGATAAAAGATTGCCTTTCTATAATTGAAAATGATGAAAGGATTAATGTTCAAAAACGCTTAATTCTTAATAATTTAAAGGAATCTATATAAATTTTAAAGCTATTGTAAAATAACATGAATATGTGCCGGTGAATGATATATAAGTTTTATTAACTTTATTAAATAAAAAATATATTTTATTAACTAACTTTTTCATTTCATACTTCAATTATATACATTTTTTATAGGTCCAAATTAGAATATAAACAAATATAAAAAAGTAAAATAATATATAAAAAAGTAAGGTTACGCCGTTTATAAAATTAGATTATAACAAAATAATAAAAGTTCAAATGCAAAAAAACAAAAAATAAAATAAAGGAATAACGCAACATTCCCCCTCTTCTGATAATTTCATCGGAGAAGTCATAGAGAGTTTGTTGTTCAAGTGGTTTATAATTTTGGTAATCAAGTTGTATCACAAATCATCATAACGTTGGCTTGTCCAATCGTTGGTTTGTATATATCGATTTTGCACGGTGGTTTGTTTAAATCGCAAGCTTGATATCCATATCGTAAATTGTCTCCATTGATCATAGCTTGTTTGATAGTACTCAATTGTTAATTATCATTTTTCCAAAATTGTTATTATCACAAATAAGTTGCGAATAAGAAATAATAGTTCGTCATAAGAATAAATGAAGAATGATAAATCAATAAGATTGTTATATTTTTAGCGTTTTAATATAAGCATTTTAATATTTAATTTAGTTTATGCAATTTAATATTTATTTTATATTTTAAGTTACATAGTCTTTTAAATAAGCAGGTTTATTTTTAATTCGCACAGGTCTAGAGATAGGTGTTATATCATTATTATCAGTAATTTTTATATTTTTGTCCATACTTCCCTCCTTAAAAGAATCCTTAGAGTCATTGTTAATAATTGTGTTAAAACAGTTTCTAATTCTTATTTGATCTAAATGTCTCCTCAAAATACCTTTCTCAGTCTTAATTTGGAACATCATATCACTTTCCTTATATGTGATTATACCTTTGCACCATATATCATCACCTTGTATTTTATACCAAACAAAATCTCCTACGTTAAAAGTTCTATTTCGTGGTAAAGTGACGTTTATTTTATTCTTCTTTTCCTCCATCGGTTTTAATAAGTCCCATTTAATTCTAATATCTCGATTAAACATTCTCTGTGATGGTGTAACTCCTGTAGTATCATTACGCGTATTTCTGTAATTAAGTAAAAATTTGCTAAGTGCGATATCTGGGTCTACTTTAATATTCCTTTTCATGTGTGTTTTGAACGTTCTAACCATGCGTTCAACCTGGCCATTGGATTGCTGGTGATAAGCAGATGTAAGCACATGTTTAATACCAAAATTGTTGCAAAATTTTTTAAAATCGTTACTCGTAAAGTTAGTACCGTTATCAGTAACTATAGTTTCAGGTATTCCGTATAGCGAAATAGTTTTAAAGATTTCTTTTAAAGTAACATTAGTCGTAATATTTTTAACAGGAATAATAATTGGAAATTTGCTGTAGGCATCGACTATTATCAACCAGTTTTTTGTGAAAAACGGACCCGCATAATCTATATGTATCCTTTCAAACGGTTTAGTTGCCGAAACCCATGGTTTTTGTATCTTTATAGGATTATCGTGATAAATATTACAATCGTCACAACTTTTCACTTCCGTAACAATATCACTATTTATGCCAGGCCACCACATGTAATCTTTGGCTAAGGATTTGATTTTTCCTGCTCCCAAGTGACCTTCATGTAATGACTGTAGTATAGTTTTTCTCATAGAAGACGGAATTATAATTTTATTGCTTTTGTAAAGACAATCTTTAATTATACTTAATTCCAATTCAATGTTTTTATAAATATTATTCATTATAGGTCTGTTGTTATTAATATCATTTATGACTTGTTTTAATTCCGTATCTTTCAAAGTTTCATCACGGATTTGATCAAAGTTAATAGGTAAATCCTCATATTCATTTATAATGGTTACATTTTCAATAGTTTCATCACGACATTCTTGTGGTAATCTTGAAAGGCAATCAGGAACAACATTATATTTACCGGCTTTATACTTTATATTAAAATCATATCCTCCTAATGTAATATTCCACTTCT